GGGGAGCAGCTTTTAGAGCATTGGAAACCTCATTGCCTCTAGGCTGTATATTGGCATGGGCCTGCCACTTATGGAAATCCCAGTTTCACTGGACCATTTCATCTATCCTTGCTGTTTTCCCTCAGTGGTAACACCCTACGGGCAGTACCACAGGCTGTATGCTCTAAAGGACCACTGCCATTACTAGAGATTTTAATCTGCAAAACTGGTACCTCTCCTTTGCAGTGTTATGAGGGAGATTCTAAGTCATGATGGACCCTGCTTGAAGCTGCCTGTGACAGCAGTGCTTTGTGAAGAGCATTTAACAGCTTGTTTGATAGGCTGCCATCAGGCTTAACCCGTTACAGAGTCTGAAGGACTGTATGAATAAAGTAATAAGTAGGTCTGTTTTATACCTTTCCAGATGGCTCAGCTGGACAAACTTGTTTTGACTCCACTCTCGACACTACAAGCCTTGTTTTCAGGCCCTCAGAAGCTTATCCAGAAGCGCTATGACAAGTTGTTGGACTACAACAGCTATCTTCAAAGGTCAACCAGAGAGGAGCTGGACCTGGCAAAAAAAGACTATGAGGCTCTAAATGCACAGCTAGTGGAAGAACTTCAGGTATTCAACAAAGCAGCCAAAAAGATTGTGTTGAACTGCCTACATTGCTTCATCACCCTCCTCAGGAATATTATGTCTGCAGTACTTCAATCAAATTCTGCTGTGGTGGTGCCTGTTCCAGTAAGTACATTATTAACAGGTGTAGCTCTGCCTTAATTTGTCTTTCTCTCTCTATGATTTGGCTGAAGTTATGTAGGACATGTATCTGCAAGCTACACAGATTTTTGTTTGTTTTGCTGAGCAAAATCAGTAGTTTGTTGAGTTTTTTTTCCTTTGCAAGCTCAGCAAGTTCATAGAATCACACAGTGGGTTGGGTTAGAAAGGACCTTAAAGATCATCTAGTTGAAACCCCCACCACCACCACCACCACCACCATGGGCAGGGACACCTTTCACTAGACCAGGTTGCTCAAAGCTCCATCCAACCTGGCCTGGAACACATCCAGGGATAGGGAATCCACAGCTCCTCTGTGCAACCTATTTCTGTGCCTCATCATGCTCACAGGAAACTAATCTAAACCTGCCCTCTTTCAATTTAAAGCCATTTCCCCTTGTCTTGTCACTACATGCCCCTCATTAAAAATCCATCTCTAGCTTTCCTGTAGGCTCCTTTTAGGTACTGTAAGACCGGGAGAAGGTCACCCTAGAGACCTGAGTTCTGAGAAACTTAATGATCTGAGCTTAACTTTTGTCAGAGCTGGACTTTTTGTCAAGAATGATCCTAATGGATCTGTTCCAGCTGTTCCAGTGATAGTAATAGCAAGAACATTACAGTAAGGCAAAAAGGAGGCAGCTGCTAGCATGTTTAGTCTTGTTTCTTAGCATCTGCCCTGAATAGCCCAGAAAACACAGGAAGAGAAATTCTAAGAAAGTACATGAACACTTCTGTTGCTGCTAGACCTGCAGAGTCACCGATGACTGCAAGAGAGAAAGAGGTTAAAAAAACCTGATTAAATCATTTTTATGAAAATCAAGTTGCTTTTTAAACCCAAATATGATGCAGAAGCTCCCGCAGACATCTCTTATCAGTAAGGAATAGCTTTGTCTATGCTGGCATTTTTAGAAAGTCTGAATCATTTCACTTAAGTTGCCAAAGGTGCCAAGGGTGCCTGTGTGAGCTACATGAAGGGCAGTAGTTCCTCCAGCCTAATCTTTCTGGGCACTATGATCATTACCCAAGGATAGAAGTTGAAAAATGATTCTCAATTTATGTGAAAAGTGTCCTGTGTTTCAGTTATGTTGTACTTTTGCCTGGAGGACTTGAACCCCCTCTAGAAACACAGCCACAACAATGCCTTCCACACACACATCCAAGTCCAGTCACCTGAACCACAGCAAGACTCTATATAGGAAACACATTGTAGTACAGCAATTCTGGAGTATTCCCTTCCATCAAGGCTTGAACAGAGCACATTATAGTCATGAGCAGATGAAAAATTAAGCAGGCAAGGTCAGGATCAAAACATAGAGCTCTGCTGTTTGATGGGAAAATGAAGGCTTTTCCCACATGAAGAAATTGCATCCCTGTAATCGACATTTTTATGTTTTGAAAGCTGTTGTATTGAGCATTGTTTTCTATGAAGGTCTGGCTATAAAGATACCTTCTTTTATTTTTTTCTGTTTACATCAGCAAATACATTTGGGGTTAGGCATAAACCAAAAGCACTTACCCAGTGCCACAGACAGAGTCTCAGCTTACCCAACGATTTTTAACCTGGTGGCAGCACTCAGTTGCACAAACACACAGCTGTGGGGTAAGCTACTCCAAGCCTTGCAGCACATTGGCCACTGTGATAGCTGCTGAGATGCACATTTGCATCTGAAAGCAGGTGGCTCAGTAGCATAAGTGCAAGGACGTTCATTTTCATCACTGCTTAGAATATTTTTAATGATTTAACTTTAATTGCTGTGTCTTTTAAGTCTAATAGCTATTATTAGAAACTTTCTTTAAGCAAGGACCTCTCTTCTCTTTACATCCTGTCCCTAGCCCACTATGGGCTCTGCAGAAAATAGGCATAACTTGTCAGATTTTCTGACTCCTAGCATTCAGCCCATTAAACCAAATCTGCTCTCTGAAATCTCCTCACCATTTTGTACGAGATCTAACCCACATTTGTGTTTGCAGCTGTCTTGCTCAAGCATCTGTGAAGTGCAGAATCAATTGATGGAGGAGGTTCAGAAGCTGAATTTTGTAAAAGAAAACAGTACTGCAACCTTTATTGAGAGAAAATTGAGCTTGGAAAAAAAGAAACCTGTCCCTTCTCCGGTGAGTACCATACATCCAAATTGTGTATGAAGCATCCTCATTTGGTTGTTTTTGAAACAAATCCATTTTTATGCCACCTAAAGGTTTGGGCTTGCTCTCTTTACTGTGATTCTGAATCAGGTTGTTGGAGTGAAGCTGTTTCATTGACCAGTAACTTCTGAAGATTTTTCACTTTTTTCATGTTATTATCTTGAAAATCCACTTGAAATTATCTCAGGTGACCCTTAGGTCTTTAAGCACATGTTAAGCCTAAGATTGTATATGTAAACTTTAGTTACTTCTTTTGTTAAATACTCTTATGGTGTGTCTTAGTCTTCTAATTCAGAAGATTCTCTTCCTCAAGCTCAGCTGTTATGTGTGCTGGTTTTCACACACATATGCACACACATGCATCCCCACAGCAGAAGAATCAGAAAACCCACTAGGAAATCTGTATTCCCCTGGTTCCCAGTCTTATCAGACATTTCCAGAGGTTTTAGGAGTCTAGTTTGCAGTAAAATAAAGACTCAAGTGCAGGTATACTGGAGAAGCTGAGGAAGCTGATTTAGCATCAGGAAGACATATGTGCTCTTGCTTACATGGTATGTTAAGATCACACTGATGTGCAGTGCCTTTATCCGTGCCCTCTAATCAAACTCTGAAATTCATAAGTTTACAGCAGTTAATAGCACCTTGCCCTCATTTAGCAAGGTAATTTCATACAAAAAGCAGACAGTTTGGGTACTGCTGATTTTTTTGCCTAATGCCTTATCATGCAAGTTATTATGTGGCCTTAGCACACCTCAGCCCATTCCTGGATTATGCTTTTTTTTGGTGATACTACATAGGAATACAAAGGTTATTGCTATGGAAAAACAATTAATAAGAGACAGTTCATATACAGAACACCAGCTCTGTGAGAGCATAGGGCAGATCAAGAGATCTTTAATTAATGAAATTCTTATATATATATATATTTTGATAAATATATTTCCATGCCCATGGCAGGGGGGTTGGGACTAGATGATCTGTAAAGTCCATTCCAACCCCTAAAATCCTACGATTCTATGATTCTACTTCTTTAAAATCTGCTCTTTATTGCTCATCTATTAATACAGCAGTTGGACAGGTCCTCCCTGCATATGCAAAGGAGATTTGGTCACATACAGCTATGTAAGTAACTCCTTGATCTGTGTGTAGAAACACAGGGTCAGTTGCCACATGCAGCATAGACAGATTTTTGTGCGTCCAAGCTGCTCTAGAAATGGTGTTAGCATTACTGAGGCTGAGTATTGTTCTGTGTTTCAGCTGGAATCCCCACGCCAAACAGAAGGCCACAGGTCCAAGCTGTTGTCTACCTACAGCACCGAGTCGCTGTACCAAGCTAAGCGCAAGTGCAATGCCACGCAGGAGTTTGACATTGATTTGCACGAAGGAGAACTGGTGGCTATTGTGGAGCAAAAGGATCCCTTTGGAAGTACAAGCAGATGGCTTGTTGACACAGGAAGTAAGTTCACTGCACAAATATCCCAATAACAGCTTCCCTTTGGGGTATTGATTTCATTCTGTTTGCCTCTGTCATATTGACAGATGCCTAAAATGGTTGGTTTTGAATGAGTTCAGCAGTGTTTTGCTGTTTGTTTATTTTCTGTCTCATTATTCTGGTTTCTAGACCTGAAAGGGTATGTGTACTCCTCCTTCCTGAGGCCTTACAATCCAGCCAAAGTGCAGAAGGATGTAGCAGAAAACGGCTTTGGTGATGATGATTTTGATAATATCAGCCTCTTTGTCTCTTCACGGCCATCTACTGACAGCAGCACTGCAAGTCCAGGGCACAAGAAGAGTGACAGCAGCTCCTCTTTTCACTTCTGTGAAAATTCCACAATGAATGGCGTGGGGCACGATGCTCTTCAGGATATGGATGATCAGCATGTAAGTATGATACACACTGTGCCTGTCTTCTTGTTCCTGTTTCAAATCTAGAATTATACTGTTCATAATTTAAATGGTTTCCTTTCACACTGGAAAAGACTGGCACTAGTCTGCCAGTGTGACACGCGAAATCGTTATCCTCTGTCCTTAAATAGCTATGAGGTGGGAAAAGATAGTTAAACCATGAATTGCAGTCCTGTGTCACAGAAAACACTGCTGCATTATCCCACCCCATGTACAATGCCTCGAGGTTCTCTATGGAGCAGGAACCAGCAAAATAGCTCACTCTGGGGGATTTTTCACTTACTGTTTGAAAAGAAAGCTGTGGCAATGCTGATCAGCAAGGCACAGAAGTGACCTATGTGCCACATTTGAGTAGAGGAGATTTAGGAAAGGTGATTCTCCCTGAGGAAACCTTGCTGGAAAATTCTTCATCCAATCCATGTCTGCTCAGTATGAGCTGAAAACCTTACTAAGTTTAGTAAGGTGATAAGTTCTTGGAGCTTAGTTTGTTCCTCCTCATGCAGAACTCCCCAGATCCTTCAATTTTACTTTTTATTTTGGCCCTGTCTAGCCACTGCAGGTCATGTGGTTTTGCAGTGGTTCATACATATTACACATTTTCTGTATACAGAATTCATACTGATACACGACAGGGTAAGACGTGGCTGTTTCTGAATTCAGATTTTGGTTTATGTGGCTTTCCTTTTTCAGACCTTCTATGCTGTTTACGCATTTCAAGCGAGAAATGATCAAGAGCTCAGTCTTCAGGAGTACCAGAAGGTCAGGATACTTCGGTTTTCTGACCTGAGTGGCAATAAAGAATGGTGGCTAGCTGAAGCAAAAGGTCAGAAAGGATATGTGCCATCGAATTATCTTGGGAAGATGACATATGCCTAGGAAGAGAAGGGCCTGTTGAGTCAGTCTCTCTGAACAGACAGAATAATCATCTGTTACAGTTTTCAGCAAGGCAAACTCCCAAGTGATTGACAGAAGCCATGGTATCCAGCACACAGATGATATTGAGAACCTCCCTCCTCCAAAAGCCATCACCTTGTCAAGACCTGAGGGAGGAAACATTTAACAGGAAGACTGATGCAGATTAACATCCTGAAGAGCTTCCTTTTCTTATTACCCCATAATTTTCTCTTTTGTCAAAGTATCTTACGTCAAGAGTCAACCTACAAGTACAAATCACAGCTGAAATTATGTTTTTCTTCCATGATACTTAGCAAATAATATTCGAGATGAAGGGAATTAGCCTTGAAAAGGACAAATTCAGTCTTCAGGGATGCTGTAGGCTGAATTGTTCCTGAACTGCTACCTCAATTAACATAGGCACATCTTAAATCTTGAGCTTTTTGATTCTCTGTTTTTATCCTCAACCACTTCTGTAATGAACCTTTTTCTCAGTGGAGATTATTGGAGTGGGAAAACAAAAAGGGCTTAATTTTTTAGGAAACAATTCAACTTAAAGCATATCAGATGTGGTGGTATCAGTGACTGGTTCTGGGGAAGAAGGTATGTTTAGTTAAATATGGAAATGAAAGAGTGATCACAAGAACCAGGTACTGTGAAATAAAGAAGTTATAATTTTCAAAAGAATCACACAACTGCTTCATATGGTAGAAACAGTTTGTAGCAATATGGAAGTGCCCCAGCTTTGAAATTCCACACTAACTGCTTTATAGTGTGAGATCTGTGTAGTACAATGAAACCTGTGTTATTAGTCTTGGGAAATTTATTGATTTAAAAAAAAAAAAGTCAAGCAGTGCCTTTTCAATGAATATTTACTGCCTATCTGATCCTTTAAGTCAGATGTAGGGATCCTACTGTCTAGTGAATAAGCTAGGACAAAAAGTGATTATGCCTGCAGCAACTAGTGTAATTAAAGGTAAACTCCTGTAAGGTATTTGCTATATTGCATAATTGCTCATACTCACCACTGAAATGACAACACCATGAAAATCAAGGCTGTGGGGGAGTGTTGCTGTTCAAGGGTACACAGAAATTGTCCTAAAGCTTTTGTATGACTTTCTACTTCCTATAGTTGAAGTGTGGGGTTTGAAGATGAAATGATTCAAAATGTTTAGTGATATGGAATAGAAAATAACCTGTCAGCAAAAAAGGATGAGAAGAGTTAGGACCATTGATGCAAACAATAGTTTTTGCTATGATAATGAGCCTAGTTTCATTTTCTTTAATGTCCTCAATTTTCAGATTAGTTTCAAAGGGTAGAAAAAGTTGACCATCTTGCTCAGAGAATGAATGCAGTGGATCACAGAGATTAGAACCTGAAATTAGCACTGGATAAAATCATAGGATAGAGGAACTTTTCGAGTTCTCTGAGATAGATCTCCAGAAACTGGTATGGGAAACTCTCTGAACTACTGCTATCCAGTGAGCAGTAACAGCAGATAAAGCTTTACTGTTATTTTGTTTTACTGTACGTCACCTCAGGCACTTAAATCTTGCTGCTTCCATAGCAAGCAAAAAAGGTTCTCATTTATTTTACAAATGGATGGAGCTGCTTTTACAGAAAACTTTGCCTGTAGTTAAATGAAGAAAATAAAGTGGAGAGGGAGTATCAGCTTGAAAGAAGGGACTGAAAGACTCTCCCCTACTAAGCTTGCACTGCTTCGGCTTTTACGTTGTGAGATTATTGGGGAAGATGCACACAAGAAGTTTTTCAGTTATGTCTTACAATTTAGAATATTTTATTTGGAGATGATCTATACTTTGCAATAGTTGAAACAGTTTTAGAAATGACTGAGTTGTGCTTAATAGGCTTAATGCAGTCATGTAAGCACAATGATGATGTTTTCTATTTCAGACAGTGAAATTAAGGGAACGAGGCTGGAAAAAAGCTATCTGAAGTCTTAGCCCTGAGAATTCAGCTTGAGTCATAGGGAGAGCTGATTTTGAGTGTTATGTACATTCCCCATGAAAAATCAGACTCTGTGAAGGTGTCTCAAAGCATACTCAAATGCTGCTCTCCAAAATATTCACCAGGTATCCTGATCCTGAAGTGACAAGGAATGAAGGATGAAATGTAGTGGAGCTGACCACCTGAATTTCACTGAACTTCTGGGGGACTTGTCAACCCCTAGTAGGCCATGTGAAATCCCAGTGTATGGCTAGGACCCATAATTTTTATATTGTGGGACAATGATATGACTTTATTATAAATTCCTAACTTGGGATCTGGAAAAAGTACTTTATTAGCTACCTGGGTGGGTTGGCTTACTCCACTTCAGAAATTCGCAGTCTTAGGTGTTATAATTTGAGATTATGGATATTATTGCAAACTTTTTTTGAATTTAAAACAGATGAATGCAAACTACAGTTGCAAAAAATTAAGAGATGCTCTTTGAATCTAAAACCTTCTGACACTGAGGAGATTGACAACAATTCATGTTAGACTGCTCAGTCACATTTTTAAGAGAGTGCTTTAAATAGTAGAGACTGAGCTATGTTGGGGTTCAGGAGTTCCTAAGAATATGCAATGATTTTGACACTGTTTTTTTAATGTAGGGAAGGTTACAGTGGTCTAAGAGCTTTCTTATTCTCGTTAATGACAAAACTAATTTATTTTGATTGAAGCAGGGACAGGCAGCAGTTTAATGGACTGTGTGTTTGTTAAAATGTGCATTTTACTTACTTGAAGTGCTGTGACAATAAGCATGTACAAGTACTTCCAAGACTGAGTCCACTCAAAGTGAAGTGTTTCTCCATTCAGGGAATACTTTTAAGTGTTGTCATTGATAGCCTGGAAGCCAGAAAACGCCGATGCCAGTGACCAGCAGAGTCCCAGGCTCTGGCCCCTGGCACCTTTGCTTGGATGGTGCTTGTCAACTTTAACTAAGGGTTCACCTTCTCAATGCAAACACAGATTGAAGAATTATTCCTACTGACTTTTCATCTTTGGAAGCTTCACTGGGTAATTACCTCCTTCAAACACTAAGGTATACTTTTCCTGTCATTTTAAGATAGCTTTTAAAAATGCAGATACATGACGTGGACCTAACACCTGCACTAGGAAATACAGCCATGCCAAGCCTTGTTCCTGTATATCTATTACTGATAATTCTCCTACAATATTGTTTGTTCAGAAACAATGAAAAAATCTTCTTTTAAATTATTGTAATAATAAAAATCTATTTTTGTAAAGATGCTTCTTCTTTTTTTTTCCCTTAAAACAAGACTTTTTCCAGAAGCTTTATATGCTATCCAAGATCTGCCTGCAAAATTATCAAATAGACAGTTGCCTCAGATAAAATGCTGCATTTCTAGTGGCTGCATTATGTGGCTTATCTATCAGTATATCAGAACTTGTCAAACACTATCAAAATACTGAGCAAGTTTAAAAATGCACTTCAAAGATCCAAATGTCAGTTTAGTTCTGTTCTTTTCTAGTTGCTCCTGAGGTCATGACCATTCCTTACTGCTGTGTCCAACCAGAGGTCTGTCATGAGTTGTCGTAGATAAAAGCTTGTAAATTACAGAACTTTGTGTTTGATCTTTCCTTTTAGACCCAGGTATCACCAGCATCCCCTAGTCCAGCCAGAAGGAGCACTCAGAACCAGTATCCTACCATTTCACATTATTGAGGGTATCAAAATTTGGGCACCTATGAAAAGAGTATCATATTTAAGTGAAGGAAAATATTAATTACCACACCAATTTTTAAAACTTAAAAGTAAAGTCTAGTAGCTATTTTTATAGTAAACCACAGAGCAATTTGGTTTGGGGATAGAAAAATCACAGGGCTGTTTCCTAGCTATTTTCTTCTCAAAATTCAGACAGGCCTTCCTTCTTCCTGCCCTACACTACCTTCCTCAACCTGACACACGAATTCAGTCAAACAATCCTGTAGAACAGACTCCTTTCCTGAAAATACAGTTGTTAATTCCATCCTAACTATAACATCAAAGCAGAAAGCAACTGTTCCCTTCAATCTGCTCTGTTTTTCAGCAGTACCTATCTTACATATTCAAGTTAAACACTTGATTTAAAAGACCAGGTCTATGCTATAAATCCTTCCTGATATAATACTTCAAAGAATCACAATCCCAACTGACATTTTTACACCAACAGGAGGAGACTTTATATTTCATTTAGGAAGCTGAGAAAGTTACAGTGGAAGAAAGTCTCTTGCCAATAGAAATTGTAGCTGTATTGCAGATTTTGCTAATACAGCCCTGGAAAGCCACAGGCACTACAAAGACAAAGTTTTTATTTTTTTCCCTCCACAGGATAGTTGAAAAAATATGCAAATTTTCCAGGTAGCTGAGGCAATCCCAAGTAAATGAAACTATTCCTTTGAATATTTAAGGAACCTTAACCTAGATCTTAATTGTGGGATAGGGAAACCAGGTATGGGAAATTGGTACATGTATCAGCTTTACACATACTTAAAATACAGGATGGCTAAGAAAAACTATAGCTTTCACCTGCCTATGAAATCTGTGTGGGTGGCTTGACCTTGGCTGGACACCAGGTGTCCACCAAAGCCTCTATCACTCCCCTCCTCAGCTGCCAGGGGGGCAGAAAATAAGATGGAAGGTTCCTGGGTCAAGATAAAGGCAGGGAGAAATCACTCCTCGGTTACTTTGATGGGCAAAAAAGACTTTACTTTGGGAAAATTAATGTGACCCAGCAAATCAGAGCAGGATAATAGGGAAATAAAAACTAAATCTTAAAACACTCCTCTCATTCCCAGGCTTTACTCACAAATTCACTATCTCCTCTCTCCAAGCAGTTCTGGGAGACAGGGAATGGGGGCTATGGTCAGTTCATCACACGCTATCTCTGCTGCTCCTTCCTTCTCAGGGGAGGACTCCTCACACACTTCCCCTGCTCCAGCATGGAGTCTCCCATGGGAGAGAGTCCTCCACAAA